ATTTCTCTCAGGGACGCTGTGGAGAGCATTGTGTTGGAAGATTAGGCCTTGAAGGTCTCCAACAGCATGTACTAGGGCCATGCTTTAGAGTGCAGAGACCGTGGGCTTTGGAGACAGCCAGATCCAGACTCAGTTCTCAAGTCTGTAACTAACTAGGTATATTAATGTGAACATATTACCATTACTTTCTGTTTCAGTTTCTCTTTCTTTCTTTCTTTCTTTCTTTCTTTCTTTCTTTCTTTCTTTCTTTCTTTCTTTCTTTCTTTCTTTCTTTCTTTCTTTCTTTTCTTTTTTACCTACAAGATGGAGAGAATGGCTTTTAGGTGTGGTTGATAAAAAGATGAAATATTTTAATACATATACCCATCACTCTGCACAGTGCAACATGTAGCAGATACTCAATAAATGTTAGCTATTATTAGTATGTGAGTAGAGCCTATTTTCTATCTGATCACGATCATAGGTAAGCAGAAGAGAGTGACATGCAAATCTAGTTTCAGTAATTTTTGGGTTTAGCCAGGCCAAATGTTGAAAGGCTATCATCTTCACTGTGTGGATAAAGACAACTGAGTTACCGTCATTGTGATATACAGTGAGCCAGTGAAAAAGTTGACATCTACATCTTTAGCTAAGGATGCCAGACCCCCATTCTTGAGCTTTCCCTCTCCCTAAGGATTAATTACAGCCTGTTAAACCATTTCAGATGCTCAGATGAAAGATGTGCTCATCTTATTACAGCCCTAACAAAGTTGCTTAGGGGCTGCTCAAAATTTCTGATCTTTAGACCAAATTAAATGAAGGAAATAAAGGGCCCTCTAATACTGTGCTTCTTTTTTTTCTTGCCTCTTTCAACTATGATTTCACCAAATTCAGGAAGGAAAATTATACTATTTCAATACCACCCAGAATGTCTTCTGGGGGATGAGGAGGGAGAAAATGGGGTGGAAATGGGAGATCTCACACAGGCAAAAACCAGAGGATGGAGCTAGAGAAACTAGAAACAATACTACTGACCTCTAACCCATGAGAGAAACCAACTGGGAGATGATTCAGGCTAAGAACTGTCACTTCTAGGACAGTGTAGGGAACGTCTTTCCCAAACAGGCTTCGGTGGAAGCTCCACAGAGTCCCAAATGGAAAATTCTCTCCAAAGAGAATCAAAACAGTAATTTTTAAAATGGTATAAAATAACCCTGAATTCTGAAAGACTATTTTTAAAATTGTAATAATCTCTTAATCATCCACCAGCAGGGAATATGGCATTTGGTTCAGACATTTTACCAATTATAACCCACTGTGTCCCTGCATGGTGCTTTCTAAATAATCAAAATTAGCTCTTAATAGTCAGTAGTCCAGACAGGAAGGAAAAAAAGCAAAACCAGATCCAAATGGGAAAATACCAATACTAGAAAAGCCCAGCCCAGCAGGCCATTGGCAGTCATGAGCCCTCCTGGCCTGCAGGAGGTAGCAGCAAAGCAAGGGAACTGAGTAAAATGTTTGGATGTGGGATCTTAGCAATTCTAGGAAAATGAGGAAAGGCCAAGAGTGGGAGACACAGAACATGGGTTTTGGAGTTGGACAAACCCGAGCAAGAATTCCAGCTCTGCCCAAAGCCCTTGCTAGCAGTTTCCTTGGGCCATGCTCCTTCCCTTCCCTGAGCCTGTTTCCTCGTATGTGAAATGGGGGTTTAGACACTCTGAAGAGATGTTCTCCAGATCAGATGTGATCTGTGCAAAGTGACCATGTGGTGACCGGTACACAACCAGTACTCAAGGAATGTCATTCCCCTGCTCCTGGTAACTCTTCCTTCCCCTGCCAGGATCATCTTGGATATAGGAGATGGACTATCAGAGCAGACAGTGGCATTCTGCCCACCCCGGAAGAGAAGCACAAATAATCATCACTCCTCAACCCATTTCTTCAACCCATGATTGACAGGGGAAGGACACATGTCAGGAGGCAGAGACTGTTTACCAGGTTGGGCATGGGGAGCCATGTTGTGAAGCTCCAGCCAGGTCCATGTACATCATGCAGAGTTCCCATTGGCACTTACAGCTGCTGAGCTAGACAGGAAAGCAGCAGGACAGTCACCAGATTTGTCGAAGAAAACTTGGTCATAAAGAGGATTATTGTGAACCAATTTATAAGTCCAATCAGGAGTGTGACCCTTCATGCATTGGAGGTCAAAAGCACCACCATCTCTAAAGGCCACTTAGCAGCAGATCCCATCCGGTGTTAGCTCAGAGGGATGGGTGGAATACAGTGAGGTCAGGAAGGAATTCTCTGCAGAGAGGCTGCAGTTCACTCACATCTTCTACCAGGGCAGTGTCCATCAAAGTGTGATCTATGGACCACCTGCACTATAATCTTCTGTCTGGGTGGAAGCTAAGAATATGCAGATTCTTGGAATGCATCCAGTTTTATTAACTCAGAATTGTGGGGAATGTGCACTTAAGACAAACACCACTGGTCACTCCTGTGCAAACCTAGGTTTGAGCAGCCCTGCCCTATGCCAACAATGTGTGGGGCTGAAGAAGGAGGAGCAGTGGCTGGTGGCTGCTGCTGGTGTTTCTTGATGACATAATTCTTGGTCAGGAAGCTGAGAGAAGTCAGCCCCAGGGGCAGCTGCTGGAGCAGCAGTTATGGTGAAGCGGCACTTTGAGCTTAATCAGCTGTGGTTCAAGTGGAGGGCGGGATCAGGGTCACTGGCCACCTCCACTACCACAGGTGTGGCTTGATGGAAGGGGTGTAAGAAGGGGCTCTTCCCAGTAACACTCAGAAAGCTGGCTGTGGGCCAGAAGGAGCTTTTCAAAGCCTTAGATTTGGCTTCCCACAGATTGGGTCTGGTGTTTGGTGTGAACATGATGTTTTCCTAACTATTGCTTCTCTGCCATGACTCTCTCCACATACTCATTTCTTTACCTTGTTTTATTTTTTGCTGTAACACTAATCACTAATGACATTATATTGCATTTGAACATGTTTGTCTATTGTCTGTCCCTAGAATGATTTTCACAAAAGCAGACATGTGGCGCATTTTTCAACCTGTGCCTAGAAGAGAGCCTAGCAGACAGGCAGCAAGGCACTCAACAGACATTTATTGAAAGAATGAGTGAGAATTCATTACTTCACATCTTCCAAGTATATTGTAGCTCAGGGAAAAGTCTGTCTGATAATTTCCCTACAGGCTGACTGCTTCATTTGTTGAGGGAAGGGTGAGCCTGAGGGCATGATTTGAGTTTAATAAGCCCCAAGTTTCACTTAATTTTTTTGTCAGTCTCACCCCCAAACTGAGCTCTCTGTCAATGTAGGACTATGTCTTTTTTAGCTGTGGCTCTCCCATACCAGGTGCAGTGCCTGACATGTGGCACAGGCTCAATAAATGATTGTCAGGTGAAGGAAGTGACCCCTCAGTGAGATTCTCCCTAGTGTGAGGCCGCTGCTGAATCCTGGCTCATGAAAAAGCTTCCCAGTGGTTGGGAAGCAGCGGTTGTCATTGCACAAGGTCACATCTCTCTGGCCCGGAGCTGGTGCCAGGACTCAGGGCTCTTCTCTCTCCATCTGGGTCCTTTTACATCTGTGGTCCAAGACAGCTGACCTGGTCTTGTCGACCAGTGCAATCCATGCCTTCCTAGAAGGATCTCAGCTGGGTCTGGGAGCCTCTCGGATAGATGTGGGAATAGAGTGCCAGGATGTAGATGTCCCTGGAGTCCCCTGAGTTGTGGGACTACACTGGTGCCAGAGCCCTGCCCTGCCCTGACAGGCTCCCCAGTCAGACTCCTGGCAGGTAGAGTCTAGCAATCTGTACTTTAACCAAATTACCAAGGTAATTTTAATGCATGATTTATCATAATGGTTAAGAACCTGGGCTTCAGAGTTAGAAGTATTTGGGTTCAAAACGAGTGGCCATTACTAATTGTTCAAGGCCAAATATGTCAATCTCCTCAGTTTCTCCACTTATAAAATATGGGTTAATAAAAAGTACCAACTTTATAGGGTTATATAAGAAAATACATATGACACAGGTAGTGTGGTGTATGGCCCATGGTGAAAACTTAATAGATAAAAACTGCCATTATGATTATAGCGACAAAGATGATGAAGATGATGAATCTCAGTGACCTCCTGGAAAGGCAGTCCTGCCACACTAGGGTCCCTTGTCTAATGACTGGGACAGCCAGGAAGCTCTTCAATGTCTGCCTCCTGCTGTCATTAGTGTGTCACTTTCTACCTCTCAGGCTTTTCTTAAGGTTGGAGAAGGGCTAGGCTAAGAGTAGAGTTGATTATCAGGGTGATAGGAGGTTGGGAAACCTTCAGAGAAACACTTGGAGTGGCTGTCAGAATCCTTGTTTCTTCTGATGTAATAGAATTACAGAAAAGGAGAAGGTAGATGGAGGAGAATAAGGAGGAGAGTATGGAGTTGAAAGAAGCTACAAAGTACAAAGCACCCCTAAGCTGACAGGAGAAGACAGGAAGCAGGCAGGAGAGAAGGGACATAATTGCCACGATGGGGGTAGGCTGAGTGTGGGTTAGTCAGAGAGGAGCTGACAGGAGAGAACGGGCCATCCATTCCAACTCAAGAACTTCCTCAGCCCCCCACAGACCAGGTCTGATATGTGTCTGACCAGCAAACAACCTAGAGTCTAACACTTGTTCCAGGGTTAGGGCCAGATTCAGGGAGTAGAATAATCCAAAATAGTGGGCATGGCTTGGGAATTCCTTCTTCGCATGATAGCCCCTTGCCCCCTTTTCCCCACAGCAAAGTGTGGCTGTGTCCTTCTTGGTATTTTGCTGGGGCTGCAGTTCCTCCACCCACACTGGCTGCAGCGGGTGGCAGCAAGGGGGAAGCCAGCACATGCTGGAGTCTTGCATGGGACACAGCTACTGTTCTTGGGGATAGCTGAAAGAGGAGGCCACCCTGAGTGCAGAGGAGAAATGGACAAGGGCATAGAGATAGGCAGAGAGGAGGTCTGCCACTAGGGCATCAGAGCCAGGCTTACCTGTCGAAAACCATTCCTTGTGAACTGCAAGATTTTCAAGGCATAGTTGGACCTCTGGCCTTTGCTGTTGAATTCAATGTGGCCAGTGAGACCTTCCAATTCTACCTGTCCAAGAGAGAGTGAGTTACAGCACCAAATAGGGCCATGTTCTAGTTGTCCCAAGCAAGCATTCTACACATGCTGTGTAAGGAGGTCTAAGTATTATGTCCAAGACAGGGGACACCATCAAGGTCCATGCTTCTGTCCACCTCTCAGCCATATGCTCTTGAGACTACTGTGATGTATCCTCAACTGAGTCCAAATTGGCTGGGGCTGGAGGAGAAGAAGGATGCCCTACACCTCATGCCTTCACAGCTGCTGCATAAAACAACTCAACAAGGTGCTAGCTTGAGCTCAGACTCCCCTGATCCCCTCTTCTATGCTCTAGGTTGTTAATAGCTTTTATCTTATTTGGGCAGCTGCTAACCCATCCCAAGACTGCAAGAAGTCAGGATGACCTGACTTAAATGCAAAATCCAAGCCACTCTGCTCCAGGCTTCTTTAAAAGGTGATGTCTTCTTAGTGGGCTGAGGCACATCCATCCCACTGGGTGACATGTGGCTGAGAGAATACAGGAGCCCAACATCAAGTTAGAAGCACTGAGCCTGAGGGATCATGGCCTATAGCAGAATCATCCATCCCTATTTTGTACAAGCTTTGCTGGGACCACCTGTGAGCCAAGGGGTCAATTTCCAAGCCTGGAATCTAGGAAGCCCTGACAGTCAAAGGCCAGACTGAGCCAGTCTGTGACTCTCAAGGGCCACTGTCAACCTTGCCATGGATTCTCAGTGATTTTAGGGATTAGGGAACAAATGGGACCCATGATCCACTGAATGGAGTTGCCACAGATCACTGTGTCATCTGGGGCTGTGATAAACTGAGGAGGCCTGGAAAGGAATAACGGAAAGGGTTCTCTGCTGGCAGGCTCGGTGTGGTCCCACAGAGCCCCAGTCCTCTCACCATGCGCAGGTAGTTCATGAGGCTGGTGCCATGCTGCCAGATCTGGGCTGAGCCGCAGGATAAGGGCTTCACACCAATCTCCTGGCTCCGGTTCAGCTCCTGCACTGCAGTCACCACAGCATAGAGGGCATCGAATAGCAGGGCTGAGGAGAGCTGGGAAGTGGGCAGAGAACAGCAGGCGGTCCACCAGAGATGGGTGGTATGAGTGGGGTAGGTGGAGGAGGAGCAGAGAGAGGAAGCAACAGGTGCAAAGAAAGGCAAGGGAAAGAGAAAAACAAAACAGAAAGAAATAAGGGTGCATCTTTGTTGCCTTTGGCCTACCTTCTGTCTCTGGGCTAGCTCCACTTCCCCTAGTAGCCCAGGTGCTTGGCCCAGACAGATAATGGTGTCGAAGGATTCTCTGGGATTGGACCAATAAGCTAGCCTTTTGAGCCCAAAATGATTCCAAGGATATCCTTTTCTTTCCTTGCTCCAGGGAAGTGCCAACTTCCCCAAGAATCCCCAAGAAGGGATGGAGCTGCTGATCTCACTAAGAGGAAGGAACCCTGCACTGCCCCGACACATGCCCATTCTACAAAACTCAGCTGACATTTTCTTACTCTGGGAAGACCATCATGATGTGGTTGTTCCTAGCTGTACACACTGTTACGGTCCACTTTGTACTATTAACCTAATGGGATGTCTAAAGTACATAGTAAGTTCAAAGCCCAAAGATGTGTGAGACCTTCCTCCTGTGGTAGATTACAGTGGAATAGGGGAGGGGGTACAGGGAGACAGGGAACAGTTAAGGGTAACATGATACTGAGTCAGAGGGACCCACAGTAGTCTGTGGGAGTTCCAAAGAGGAAGATAGCTTATCTGGTTGGGTGATTTAAGAAAATATTTTGTTGAGGATGCAGTGTTTGAACTGAGCACTGAAGGATTTTGACAGAAAAATTATTTAACCTGGGAGTGGGGAGCAGCTAAAAAGGGAGAAAGGCATTCCAGAGATGGAATTGTATGAGCAAAGACAAAGGGATGGAAAGAGCACACCTGGAGGGGGAATGGGAGAGGAAGACGCAAGAAATCAGAAACGATGCAGGGATCATGCTTTGGGAGGCTTATGACCAGGAGGAAGAGGCCAGTTCATTTTTGTCTGCATTTTCATCTCCCTTTACAGTGAAAACTCTTAGGGCTGGGGCACACAAGACCTTAGTCTCTACACCCTGCACAGCACATTACACCAGGACCTGACAGGTGGTGGGCCTCCGTGACATATTTATGGAATCAAATGAAATTTGGGGTGAAATCTGCCCACAAGGCTTAGGCTGAACACTATTAAATTAAGTAGATGTTAGTGACCCTTGGGGAGGGGAAGACTGAGTGTCTGGATGGAGGCATTAGAAGCAGAGAAACAGAAGACACTTGTCCTTGGGGTGTGCCATCCACAGAGGTGATGTCTCTGACAATGGAAATTGACTGAGGGTGAACAACTGTAGGGTCAACACTGCAGGGGCCTGAAGGGAGGCCCAGGGAGGCAGGAGAGGCCTTCCGGGACGAGCGATGTCAGATGCAGGAAACCTATGCTCCACCGCATTATAAAGCAGATTCCTTCACTGAACTGTGACATTCTATCATAGGCAATGACAGACTATCCCTTGTAAGCCTCTTCTTCCAACATGAGAAATGGCTGAGAGTACTCCCCATGTGACTTCGGACACTGGCCAGGCCCTTAGACACTGGGCTCCCCAAGGTTGGAGGCAGGGAGGCCATTTTGTGACCTTGTGGATATTTTCAAGGTTTACAGACAGAAGGCTAGCATCTGGGACAGTGAGGTGAAGGAAAAGGGACTTGAAACCAGGAACAATGAAACCAGAGTCTGGACCACCACCCTTACTTGTGCACCAAATAAGCTGGGCCGGCTGCTGAACCTGGGAGTGAGCAGCAGTTTCCTGTGAAAGCAAGGCCCTGCCTGACATGTCTGTCAAAGTGCTCTGTAAACTGTGAGTGTCAGGGGTCACCATTCCTGAGGGATGGGACTGTACCCCAGGTGCAGATAAGTGTCAGCAGGTGTCTGGCAAGCAGGTGTTGGCTGAACTCAGGTGCTGGGGAGTCATAAGAACAGAGAGCTACAGGGCTGGGAAGAATGACTCGTTTCATTCACAGTTTTGGTACATACTGGGCAAGGATGTTTGTAATAGCAACTAGTTGGGCAGAAGAGATCATATTCCTAAAAGGCAATTACAGGGAAGCCCAGCCAAACAAAATCTGTACCCCCATCCAAGCTCAGTTGCATTACAAAACTGCCTGGCCAGTGTGTTTTTTCTTTCTCATGCTCACCCATTTTTCTCTTCCTCTATAACTTTTTTCTTCTTCCCCACATTTATTCAGCCCCTATGATCTGGAAGAGACCCTTCATCTTTTACCGAGGCCTTAGTGCCATGTGTGAGCCATTGTGTCCCCTCTGCCTACATCAGGTTTTCTGCCCTCCCAGGTCCAACACCCCTGCTTTCCAGAAGCCTGGTCCTGAAGCCACATGTGGCCTGCAGAACAAGCCAGTCAGGGCACCCACATTGTGCTATCAGGCTCAGTGGAGACCTGTGCAGTCCTGCTGAGCTGCACTAACTGGCCAGGCTCCTCACAGTTCCTCCTGCTGGTCATCCTGGTCCTGCCTTCTCCCTCCCATGGCCCTTCCCCTTTGCAGTTTAGCTCCTTCATCTGATTCAAGGCTCACCTGAGTGGTATCTGATGCTTCTTGGCCAGCTTATAATTGTGCTGGTCCTTTCCCTGAGCAAATGGGCTCCTTTATTAAAGGGCCCTTTGTGTTTCCTTGCCAACAGGACTTATGGAAATGATGAGTGCTACAGACTCTTCCATCCCACAGAGACAAACGTCTTCCTAAGGACATCACCTTTAATGACACTGGCTTCAGCCCCTGTAGTCTGGCTACTTAAATGGTATTTTAAACTCCCTTTTATCCCACCTTCTCCCTTACCTCTCATTAATCTCTCCATTCTGAAACCCTCAAAATCACCAAGTGTAAGAACTGGAAGGGATCCTAGAAATCAAGTAGTGCAACTCTCTTGTTTTACAAATGAAGAAACTGAGGTTAAAAGAGTTCTGCCCTTGCCCCACAGCACCAAGCAAGACACTGGTAGAGCCAGGATGGGGACGGAAGCATAGCATTCCTTCCCCCAGTCTGGTTTTCACCCTTCTTTGCAGCTTTGTCTTTCCACCTCACTTCCCACCTCTCAGAAGCCCAGGTATGTCATTGCTGCATCACACTGATGCTTATGCTTAGCCTCTAGGACAACATAAACAATCTTTCCAGTTGTCGTTACCTTCTCAACGGCAGACAGGAGCAGGAGACTGTTGGGCCAGAGCTGGGCACAGGGAAAGCTGGTGGCTAGAGGCTTCCCTGCTGCCCTGGGTTTGGTCATCACCCAGTTCACTTCCTGATCTGACTGACTGTCTTCATGTTAATCCCTCAGTTAAGAACTACTTGGAACTTTTGCTGAAACAGGGCTTGTAAGGGCAGGACAGAGTGGGCAGTAAAAGGGTGGGACCTAGCACCCATTCTTCCCTTCTTAATATAAGCCCTATTTCATTTATGGGTACTCCCCTTCCCTCAAGCAAGCATGTGCTTCAGGGGCAGCTGCTTCAGCTCCAACTCCTGAGTGAGTCTGGGTGGTCCAAGAATCTCCCATCACCATGACAATGTGATGAAGAACTCAGCATGTGACCCCATTCTGGCTGATGAGACATGAACGGAGGCCTAGAGGGAGGGATGGCTACTCAGAAGAGTTTCCTGTCTCTAAGAGAAACACTCTCTCCTCCTGCGGACATTCTTGTGTCTGGCCTTGGTGCCTGGACCAGCAGCAGTCATTATGGTTCCAGCCTGACCATGATGTTGACACCAAGGATGAGAGCAGAGATGCAAGGAATGTAGGTTTCCAGTGACATTGCTCTGGACTCTACCCTGCTTCTCCACTTGCTATGACATGAAATAACACATTTTCTTTTTTTGCATGAGGCATTTTAATTCGGGAATCCTGTTACTGAAAACTAAGAGCTCCCTAACTAGTCCTGAGGCCCTGGGGATCCCTGTCTTCTTGGAGGCATGGTTGACCGAGGCCCCCAAAGAGGCCTGGGCCTCATCCCCTCTCTGAAGTCCCCTTCTCACAGGCTGAGTGTGGAGACTCTCATCACTACAGACTTACAGCCACAGCATGCCACCCAACTCTCACATCCTCCTCCCAGGCCCTCAGTTCCTTTCTGCCACATGCTGTTGCTATCCCCACTCCATCTGGATGAGGTTTTATTGGCTGATGCTCTCTTATTAGCAAATGATCCCAATGCTGGTAAATCAGCATGTGCCTCTTTCCAGTGTTCATTGGTGTCTCAAACTTCAGGGCCTTCAGGATTTTTTTAGTGCTTCTAGCAACTACAATTGCAGCAAGGGATGTGAGGAGCAGGAACAGATGGAAGGAGCAACCTCAAGACCCCTGGCACCTGTCCATTTGTGTACTTCCTTTAGAGAGGTGGCGTGGTGACACAAGTGACAGGTATGTTCCCAGCATGCTCTGGGCCTCACAGATCCTCTCTGCAATTTGACCTTGGCTGATCTGAACTGAAAATTCCTAAGCCTCAGACACCTCCTCCCTCCAGCCCAGTCTCTGCCTCCACAAACAACCAGGCAGCCTCTCATGCAGGATCCACCTGTCTACCAAGGACTCGTACCTGGGTCCTCCACCTGCTCCCTGACACCTTAGCTCCCATCTTGTGCTCCTCCAGCTTCTCCGAAGTTGCCAGTCTCCTCCCCTCACCCCTCTCTCTCCAGTGGTGGGAGAGCCTGTAATCTCTGTCTCATCAACTTTCCCACATCACATCAGATCTCTATCTTGAAGTTCCTGCTGCTCCCTCCCTCTGATATTACTAAGTTAGCTCTGGGAGCAGTTGGGGAAAAACAGTTCTGGGACAAACCCAGCTCCATCCATGTCTCCATTTCTGGGCTGTCCCCTTCTGTCTCCTGCCAGTCTCTCACCTCATTCCCCTTCCTTTTCATGGCCCCTCTTCATGCTGCAGCCACCATTGCCTGTCTTTGCGCACCACCTCTCACTTTTGTCTCTGCTTTCCCTGTCCCTACCTCTTCTAGACAGTTAACCCCCCAAATGTCTCAGTCCTCATTTAAAGCACTCTCCTCTTTCTTGGTGCAAAAATGTTGCTTGGCAAGGAATCCTCAATTCTCTTGTTCTTATATTTCCATTTGGTTCTTCATTGCTATGTTCTTTTGAGCTGCTTGTAAATTATTTAGGGGAATGAAAGACTCTATATATTAAGATGATTCAATCTGACTCAGGAGATGTTGGCTGAGTTTCCTTTCCTTTCTCTGAAATAAAAATAAAAATATCTTCTAAATATATACCCTTCTCTACCTGACACAGTCCATGTCACTGGACTCCAAGGGTTCTCTTTGTGCCCATTTGCCTCTGAACTTTTGCAGCTTAAACTATAATGCCAGTGCAATGCCAGGACAGGAATGATCACAATTTCATGGAATAGCTCATACAATCTGGGTTTTATTCAGTGAAGTAAACACTCACACACATCTGTTTTAGCATAAACTCTAATTACTTAATCTAATCATCTGTAATTTCAATGATTTTCATGTTCACAATGTGAGGAACGGGAATGGCAGGGGAGACTGGTGGGTGTGTGTTTCCAGCAGCACACTCCTTACTTGGGACATCTCAGGTGGGAAGCACACTTGCAGCTTGCTGTTCACCACCCAGGGTTCAGGCTGGTGGGCAGCACTCAGCTTCCTTCCCTGCTACTCCTCAGTTCAGCTACTCCTCCCCCTCCATGCCTACAGCCTGACCCCCTGGCCCCCAGCAAGCTCCACCTGGAACTCTGTCAGCCCAACTGTGAAAGGGGCACACAAGTTGGAAGAAAGGAACCAAGAGAGAAGAAAAGGCCAAGAGTGAAGAGGGACATCTAAAGTGTAAGAGAGAAAAGGAACAGAAAGAGAGAAAAAGGAGGTTATGAGACAGAGGAAGATGGACAGGAGAGCATGAGGAAAGGTGAGAGAAAAAAAGAGAGGTTGGAACTGAGAGGGTGAGAGAAAGGGAGAGGAGAAAAGGAGACAGGTGAGAGCAAGGAAGGTGAGGAGAGAGAGGGAAGGGAAATCAGGCCCCATGGACTGACTGACAGATGTGGGAGCTGGTGACAGCCTGTTTACAGACTGGATGCAGAGACAAAAGCAGGCTGTACTCTCCACACTGATTGTTTGTGGCCACCTGGCTCCCCAGCCAACAGAAGAGCAGGGCTGCTGGTGCTGGCAGTTTCAGCCTGGTAGGGACAGATTTGAGAAAGATTTGCTGCTATGTGAAGATCTGAGCTTCCTTTCCACAGTCTTTGATGGGAGGAATTCCTGCAACCCTTCCCTCCCTCTGCGAGGCCGAAGAGACCAGGGCTGGATGCCCTTCTGTCACTGAGAGTCAGTCTCAGAGCCCCAGCATCTGTGCCAGCCAGTACCTCTGTGTCTCATTTTCCTTATCTGTGAAAAAGGAGTGCACAGGCACTTGTATCTGTTATTAGGAGGTCATGAGGAGGAAACCAAGGTCAGGGTGGGATGATTTCATGGGAAGTGCTACACTATTCTTTAGCTCTGTGCTGAGGTGAAAGCAAATGGATGAGCACCCTTATCTCCTCAGCCAGAAAGAACACAGGGCCCATTTTACTGGCAAGAAAACCGCAGGAGCTTTGCCAAGACAATGCCAACAGACGTGGGACCCCAGGCTGTGTGGCCTAGGACTAGCTGCTCCACCAGGCCTAAGGCTGGTACTTGCTCTCCTCCCACCGTCCACTGAAGCAGTGGAGTGGGAAGGACACAGCCTTCTTGTACTCTTGTTCTCTACCCCCAGCACAGAGGGTGACTCCAGAGGACCCAACCACTTCCCACATGCCCCCCAAACATTCTCGGGGAGCATAAGATACTAAAGTCTTAGGAGGCTTTAGGTTGTGTTGGGAAGGAGAAGAAGGAAGTCGGAGTTTTCTCTTTTAAACTGCCTGGGACTGAGTTCACAGGACAGGTACCCTACACAGGAGCAAGTCAGCGCCTGCAGCTTGGACACCCTGCACAGTGTCCCCCACACAGTAAGTAAGCATCCTCAAGGATTTGCCTCACCTCCTCTGGAAAGCCCTCCCCAGTCTCTACTGGCAGAACTGAGAACCAAAATGTGGAGTGGGTTGAGTTGGAGAGGAGGCAGAATGTTTTGTTTCCTTTCCTAATATTGTGCTGTCCATTAGCACCTCATTAGAATCTGGAGTGATGATTATGAGAATGGTAGAAAAGGCCAAGGTACAGGGCTTGTGCTCCTACCAGGAGAGATGAGCTTGGTCCTATCCATGACACTGTGCCCGAGGACATCTGTCCCTGTCCCTCAAGACCTAGTAGGGATGAGGATCCCCTTCCGAATCCTTCCTATGGAGTCTTACCTCATTCTGGTCAAAACCATCTTGTTAGGATGCACTCTGTAAACTCTATGACTTCAGTTCTCAAGCCCCTTTCTTTTATCTGGTTCTTCTGATCAAAACTCCCTGAGCTTTACATGAGCTCTGACCCCTTAGCTACCTCTCCCTTCCTAAGATTTTCCACAGGCTAAGCAATCAAAAAGGCAAAGATTTGGGTGGAAGGTCAGTCTGTCCTTCAGTAGGCCTGCTGCTAGGTCACCACTTTGGCTGATGACTAATCAGGTGCCCATGTGCACCAATGTCCAGGACTGTCCTCACTTCTGAGTCTGTCTCACCAAAAACAGATATCACTCCTATTTTTTTATCCTTACCCAAGGACATTTTTTTTCATTGCTTTTAGAGAGAGAGGAAGGGAGAGAGAGAAACATCCATTGGTTGCCTCCTATACATGCCTGGACTGGGAATCATATGCTCCTGGACCAGGAACTGAGAATTGAGGATCAAACCCACAGCTTACATATGCACCTTGACCAAGAATCAAACCCACAACCTTTTACTAATGGGACGATGCTACAACCAACTGAGCCACATGGGCCAAGACTCACTTCTATTTTAAAAGCCCACCAGAGAATGTCCCACTCCAGGAAGGTACCCAATTCCACTCCCATCCCCTAAACCTAATTCATTTCCATTTCTTTATAACTTTAACTCATTATTCCACCTGTCTCACTCATTCATTCATTCCTTTGACAAATACTTACTAACTGCTTTCATTTTGCCAGGCCAATGTACAGTACAGTGTGGCAAAGGAATAGTGGTTCTAGAGAATGACAAAATAGCGTAGTGGTTAAAACTGTGAACCGTAAACCCACAGGGCTTAGGTTCTGATCCTACTTCCTCTGCTCATTAGTTGTGTGACCTTGAGCTGCTTATTTAACCTTTCTGGCCTCAGTTTGATCATCTCTAAAGTGGAGGTGCTATCTCACAAAGTTGTTATGAGCATCACAAAAGCTGTCTTAGGCTTGGAGGGACCCAGAAAGCCATGAGATTCCCATCTCAGAGAACCTATCTTTTAACAAATGGACACAAGAAATGCATTAGACCTGCCCCACAAAGTAAGGACATGAAACCCGAGGAGAATGGCAGGGAAACCTTTGCTTCCATCACACACCCTGTTGGGAGAGGAAGTGCAAGGAGGGAAGAATATGGGTGAGGCCACAGAGGCATGTCTGGATGAGTTGCTCCTTAGGGCAGTAGTCCAGAGTGACAGGGAAAGCACTGGATCAGGGGTTGGGTGTCTCAGAGCCTAGTTTTACCCTGCAAAAGGCTTTGTGCTTGCCCTGGGACAAGATGCCTACACCTCCTCTCCCAGCCTGGGCTTCAGTGTCCCAACCTGAAAAATGAGGCAGCAGATCAGCTTATGGCCTTTTCAACAGTAACAGCCTTGGATTCTACACTTGGGCAGTTCTCAGCAGCAGAATCATCAGGAGTCCAGCCACAGAAGGCCACAGACCTCACTGACCAGCAGCTTGGTGCCTCCACACAGCCAGCCACCCCGCTGTCCCCTGTAGCAGTTGGGCTGTTTGCAGCTTATAGGAGTGGAGAAGATTTTCCCTTGTAACTACTTCCCAGAACTTGCATTTTGACACACCTCTTTCTGAGCTGGGCCTGAGGAAGCTGGTCTCTAGGAGGCTGTATGTGCTGGAGGCTGTATGCACAGAGAGGGTGTGTGTAGGCAAGGGGACGTGGAGGAGGGCTCTGGCGATACTCACCGCAGGCCCAGGGAAGGGCACATGGTCACAGTTCTCCTGCCAGGACTGGTTGAGGTTCTGGGCAAACTCTTGGAAGAAAGCATGTGATTGATTGAAAATGGAAAATCCCAGGATATTGACACGATCATCCAGAAGGCTGTCCATCCTCTGGAGTGAGAACTCCTGGAAAGGCCGGGCAGTCAGAAACAGAGCAGAGTTAGGAAGGGAAGAAGGGGCCTGGGCTTTGGTGGCACCTGTTTTGGCATCTGTTTGACTGGGTCTCATTCCAGTCAAATCAATGCTAATTGTCAGGTGCTCTGCTAGGCACAGAGGGTCCCAAAACAACTACGAGTTGTTCTTCTGAGAGCACACGGTGTTGGGAGAAGCGGGGGAGAGCAAGAGAAATAAACAGAATGATCTCTAAGAAAGGTATGTGTAAGATTCACTAGATGAAGAGAAAAAGAAAACGGTAATGTGCCTGACTAAGGTGTGAACATCAAGTTTGAAGGATGCATAGGGATTTTCTGGGCAAAAAATGTGAATGGGCAAAGGCTATTCCAGACAGCAGTCACCATGGGTATAAAGGCGCAGAGGGGATAGAGAAACTGTGTGGCTTTTTCAGCTATTTGCCCACAGTGTACTTTGATAGAAGTATCACTTCTCAAAGTGTGGTCCACATGACACCTGCCATCGGACTCTCCTGGGGACCTTTTGAAACAGTGATGGTTGCTGTACCCTGCCTAACACCAGCTGAATCTGAGGCTCTGGGGCTGAAACCAGGAGTCTGCATTTCCAGCAGATCCTAAGGCCTTATGCATACATTCCAAAGTTTGGGATGGACTGGGTTAGCACATAGGAGGCATACAGGTAGGCATGGCAAGAAATGAAACTGGACAGGTTGGCAGGGCCAGAGCACTGGACTAGGGAGCTGGCACTTGGTCATGTGTGTGATGGGACTTGAGGGGACTCTAAGCAGGAAGACTCTCAATCTGAAGCTCTGAAGATAGGGTTCATTTAGTATTTTTTCATTCATGTAACAAATACTTACCTGCTTACTGTGCACCAGACACAGGCACAAAAGATAGGAACAGGAAGCACAATTCCTGTTCCCGAGGAGCTTACAGGGTACTAAGGGGACAGATTGTAAAGATATAAACAAATCCACACAATTTCAGATATCTATGATGAGTAAGAGTGGGGACTGCTGCTTTTGATGATGCAGCTGGAGAAATCCCACCTGGGACAGTGAGTTAGAAGCTCAGGAGAATTCTCCCAGAACCCGGTGTCCTCATCCAATCGCCTGGCCTGAGCCAAGTCTTACCTTAGCAAGCTAAGTCCTGCAGGCATGAGTCCCACTGAAGCCAGTCAGTGTCATAGGGAGAAGACTAACCATCCTCAGATAGGCCTGAACTTGGAGCCCTGGACCCCCAAGGTCCCTCTTGGCCCTCTACAGGGAAACCAGGCAGGAGGGTGTGGATTATTTAGCTTATCAACCCCCACTCCTAGAATAATGCCTTCAAAAGTGGGTCAGACCAGTGTGGTGATAGCCAGAGGGGAAGGGGGTTGGGATAGATAGAGGTGGGCAAAGGTGGGGGATGGGGACAGAAAGAACTTTGCTTGGGGCAAGGGATACAAGATACAGTGTGCAGATGGTGTTTTATTGAGTTGTGTACTTGAAACCTCTATGCTTTTGTGAGCCAATGTCACCCCAATAAATTCAAGTAAAATTAAAAACATATAAGTCAGGTCATCTTTGCACACTGAAACCACATTCATCACACATTCGCTTTGAGTGCCTCACACACAGCTCTGGAACCTGTGGGCACATGGTAATTACAGAACTGACTAATCTGGAACTGACCCACCCACCACTCAGCTGACATGACAGATGGCAGGTGCCTTGGGCTTACTTCCTGGATGGCCAGAAACATTGCTTTTCTTCAGGTGGACTCCTTTCTGAAGTTACAGCTCCTGCAGGCCTCTGGCTCATCCTCTGCTTTCTCACTCCTATCTGCAGCCAGCCACTGCTGAGGCTGCAGGCCCAAGGCTTAAGGCCCCCTATTCAGAGTCCAGCCTCACTAGCTGCAGCTTTCAGACTGAAGTTATGAAGTTTCCTTTGAAGACACCAACCCCTGACACTGTGAAGTCGGATGATGATTTCTATTTTGGATCCTGCCACATCCCTACTGGGAAAACAAGAACATACCAGAGAACGTCTGATTCATAAGCTGATATGTATCCTGTCTCTCTCACAGGGCAACTGCCCATGTGCTGTGTGTTATCAATAGGCATGAGGAAGCAGATGGCTAACGAAAATGGATGCACAAGCCAACCTGCTTTCTGGCAACCAAGGGGCCTCACTGGCTTTAGCCAGTATGGGGGGAGCTGGAGGATGTCCCCTCTCCCTTGCCTTCCTGTCACTGTGGGCAGCCCACCACATTCCTCTGTCCTTTCCCCACACGTACAGCTTGGTAGAAGGCGGTCTTTCAATTATGCTCTGATGTCTTGGATGTCTGCAGACTCACAGCAGCAGCTGGGGGGCACATAGTGGATAAGGGCTTTGATGTTCAAATAGAGGTTGCACACGATACTGAGCATGAGACCTTGAAGAAGGCCTTAACCTCTCTAGGCTTTAGTGGGAATAGTGAGGGTAGCAACCTGAGACGCAGTTTTAAGGAATGTGTAAGATGCACACACAAGGCTTAGCATCTTATCTGGCCTATGGGAGGTGCTCAACACATGATAGTTACAGAAATATGACCGGGAGAGCCTTGGCCCTCTGTGTCATTAGTTCCACTTGTCTTAGAAATCTGAGGAAAGTGTTTCCTTTAAATGTGTGTCCCAGGCACAGTAAGAATGGATATTAATTGCAGACACTTAGAGGCAGCCCTTCCAGAGGTCAGCCAGTCTGTCTTCTTGCCTTTTAATTCCTACCTTCTTATCCGTCAATTATATTCTATTTTCAAAGCCCCCTTTAAAATTAAAAGATCCAAAATCTTCCTTGATGATTCATTCTACAGGGTCTGGCACAAATAATGACTCCCTTTTTTATTATAGAATCTTTTATTATAAAATCATAACCATGTAATTCTGTAACAACAATATCACACTCAAGCACACCATGTGATATTTTAGATGAAATGTTCAAATTGGACACATCTCATGTGAGACATTCACCTACCCTACCAACCACACTCAAGCAAGCCTTACTTCTGCTGGATCCTGTATTTATAATAACTCCTGACAATGTAAAAGAACAATAAAGGAGTGGTATGTTTTGTTATCATAATTTCCCTAAGCATCCTCACGTTTAGTAAATGATTCTTCATGTCCAAACTTAGACTCTCCAGAGGAAGCTGAAGGCTGGTTTCTAAACAAACATGGGAAACTGCCGAGCATTGCCAGTTTCTGAACAATAAAAGTCTTCTAAGCCAGTATTTCCCAAAGAAAAGCTACTGTTCCTCAGGACAGTAGCTTTTCCAAAAGATGTTAATAGAAATTTCATAATAATTAAGTTTCATGTTCAAATAAAGTTAGAAAATATTGCACGTGACATCTGCCTTTTTAAGATTCATAACACACACCTGCATATGAAAGCTTTACAGGGGTGCTGAGGTAGGGCAGCCTGTCTAACTCTGTGCGACACAGAACTTTCCAAACACATCAACAGTGGGACACTCTCCCCCCAGACACATGACTGTCTCTCCATAGTGCTCTGTAGAACATGCTTTGGGACCTACTGCTCCAAACATAGTGAGACATGCATTATAAATATGCATTATAAATACAAATTCAAATGATGGAGGCATTTTGCTGAGAGAGATTTTTCATAAAGTTAGCAAATTTCAGAACTGGAGGGGATCACTGCCCAGTGCAAGCTCTACCTCAGTACACACTCTTAGCTCACTTAGTTACCCTGTGTGTCCCCACCATGCTGCCTGGATGATGTGACCTCACCCGAAATGACAGAAGGAGCTGGGAGCTCTGGGGCAAAGCATGTTCCCACAGCAACCTTGATTCTCTTGCTATGAAAGTGCTGGAAGGGAAATCCTGAGTGTCCCCACTCCTGATGGAATGGCTTCCATTGTGGCAACACCAGAGAAGAGAGGGTGAAGAACTAAGCAGATGGCCTCTGAGAGGTTGAGTGGCAGAGCAGAGACCAAGGCTAAGTCATTACAAGCACAAGTGGCTTTGTGACAGCCCTGTGTGCCCATTACATGTTCATGCATGTGATCTTTCTCTCCAAAGGCCTGTATGTTCCTGGAAAGCAGAGATATGTCTGCCTTGTATTGGAATCCCACACTGCGCCTGGCACAGTGCCTGATACCTGGGAGCCGTTTGGTAAATGTTTGTTGAGGACTGCTGATTGAAGATGCTTCCATGCCCAGGAGTCCTCTCTATGCCCAACTCTGGTAACTAATCACACAGTCTCACTCCTACAGAAGATGTAGGGACATGAGTAGAACTTGTATCAGCCCCTGGAGTGCCATCTGAAAGCTGCATTATTGTATTTGGAAAAAAATTCTGACAGCCTGTTTTCTTATCACTGGGTTCTTAGCTACTTGTCAAAAGAGAAAAGTTTTCCTAAATAAGTCACTGTCCAACGTTACTTGCTAGGTGTGCCTTGACAGAAGGTTTGAGTTGAAGTTCCAGATCTTCCAACCATAGTAAATTACAATGAAGCAATAATTATAATAATAATAAGTGCTATATAATAGATTGACAACCCACTATGTGCCTGGCAGAACTGAACACTTCACACACACAATTCCAAACATCCTGCAGCCACCCTGTGGCATAGGAGTCATGTGGCCAATTCACAGCTGAAGGAACCAAGACCCAGGTGTGAAAGGGCTTCCCAAGGCCACACACAGCAAACAAAGGGGTCCAATTTCCACTCCAGTCCCAGGTGCATCACAACAAGTGTTTTGTGTTCTTGCACTGACTCCACACTCTGCAGCCCCAGTGCTCAGGGTGCCACAAGCTAATTGTGCCTGTGGTGGAGAGTGACTGGCAGAATTGACTTAAAGTTGAATTCAGAATGCACAATTTGACTTTAAGACTGGTGTGAAGATTTGCAGCTAGAAAATGAACACTGGTGGTCTAAGTGAGTAAAGGGATTACCAAACATCAACTAAGTCTCTGCATGAAAAGGATTTTAATTACAAGGGGGCTGGGCTTGG